AAATGAATTAATATGGGATGCAGTGCTTACAATAAACACATCTTAAAAGAACATCAAGAGTTAGATGTCACACACCATGGATGTGAATGAAATGAAGATAGGCAACTTCATAAGTTTTGAAAAAATGTACATTCACTGAAAACAATGAGGCTGGCAAGGCCCAAAACCTCATGGGATACCATGTCTGTCCCCAACAAGTTAACCTGCTTTTTGTAAAGCATTGTTTTTTTAATTTAGTTTTCTTTCTTTCTTTTTTTAAAGAACTAGCCTTTCTGCTTGATTGTCACTGAAATCTCTCCCCTTCCCCCATTCCCCCATTCCCTTAATTTTATTAAGATCATAACTATAGCTCCCCAGCAGAATGTTTTGTTGTGGCTCAGGTCACAAGAGAGTTCTTTAACTCAGTTTTATTGAAATTTTATTATGGGTTAGGTACACTATAAAAACATGGTAGCTCTCCTTCCGCTGCAAATTTTGCTTCTTTTTCAAAAAGTAGATGAACAAGACCACTCTGACACGTTTAATTCCAAATTTATCAGGGCCATCTTGCTCTCCTTTTTATTACCTTCTCCTATAACAAGGTTTCTCATCTTCTTTCCACCCTAACCCCTTCATAGATTCATAGATGTTAGGGTCGGAAGGGACCTCAATAGATCATCGAGTCCGACCCCCTGCATAGGCAGGAAAGAGTCCTAATGTCCAATCTAAATCTGCTCTCTGCTAGCTTGTGGCCATTATTTCTTGTAACCCCCGGGGGCGCCTTGGTGAATAAATACTCACCAATTCCCTTCTGTGCCCCCGTGATGAACTTATAGGCAGCCACAAGGTCGCCTCTCAACCTTCTCTTGCGGAGGCTGAATAGATCCAGTTTCTCTAGTCTCTCCTTGTAAGGCTTGGTCTGTAGGCCCTTAACCATACGAGTGGCCCTTCTCTGAACCCTCTCCAGGTTATCTGCATCCCTCTTGAAGTGCGGCGCCCAGAACTGCACGCAGTACTCCAACTGCGGTCTGACCAGCGCCCGATAGAGGGGAAGTATCACCTCCTTGGACCTATTCGTCATGCATCTGCTGATGCACGATAAAGTGCCATTGGCTTTTTTGATGGCTTCATCACACTGCCGACTCATGTTCATCTTGGAGTCCACTAGGACTCCAAGATCCCTTTCCACTTCCGTGCCACCCAGCAGGTCATTCCCTAGGCTGTAGGTGTGCTGGACATTTTTCCTCCCTAGGTGCAGCACTTTGCATTTCTCCTTGTTGAACTGCATTCTGTTGTTTTCTGCCCACTTGTCCAACCTGTCCAGATCTGCTTGCAGCTGTTCCCTGCCCTCCGGCGTGTCCACATCTTCCCATATCTTTGTGTCATCTGCAAACTTGGAAAGAGTACATTTCACTCCCTCGTCCAAGTCACTGATGAAGACATTAGAGTATCGGTCCAAGGACCGAACCCTGTGGGACCCCACTTCCCACACCCTTCCAGGTTGAAACCAACCCATCCACCGCGATTTGCAGCCCAGAATCACAATAGCAAGGCCTTGCAAATCCATTCATTTGCCCTCTCAATCCATCTCTTCCCTATTTCTAACCTTTCACTCCTTTCTCTCTTTCTTAACCTCCTCCTACTCTCTTCTGATTACTTCCCTTTACTATACAAGCAAACTGGTCTTTTCCATTCTCCAAAAGCAGACACTGTACTCTACCTGCTTCCTGGACTATTGGCACATTTGATGTCTCCTCTGAAATCCCAATGGATCTTTTGGAAGTGATGCCTCCAATGCTTATCCCTCCGTTTTACTAAGGACACTCTCCAGTCTGGTGTCTATTCCATCTCTTACACAGGCACTGCTTGCACTACTATTTCTAGCAACCTCTTTTAGGTCACATATTAGGATTTCTATTTTCTCTTCATCCTCCTTGCTCTTTTCACAGCGTTACACACAATCATATTCTCCTTTTGGTAACAACTGCTGTGTCAGACACTAGGGACAGAAGTTCCACATAAACCAGTTTAAGTGATCAGAAATTGGTTTAAACCTGTAACAGAACAGAAGCTCAGTACACATAAACCAGTTTCAAAATGGCTGAAACGGACTTAGGATAAACCTGGTTGAATGTAGTATCAGACTTAACTGATTTGGGTCAAACTGGTTTATGAAACTTCTGTCCCAGACCCCTTCCTGGTTCAAGTTAAATCACAGTCCTCCAGCATCCCAGCATGCTTTCCAGCCCTGGGCAGGGCTGGGCTGTCTGCTCCAGAGAGCTGGGCTGGCCCTGCCCCTCTGCTTCCTAGCTGGAGCAGTGAGGGCTGGCTGACAACAGGGAGGGAGACAAGCCCAGGGGAGGAGGCAAGCCCAGCTGGGGATGTAGTCCAGTCTAGAGATGAAACACTGCCCCCACCCCCACCCCCAGCAAACCCCAGCTGGGGTCTGGGGCCAGGGAGAGGGTGTTAAACACCCCTTCTCCCACTCAAACTTACTGCTGGCTGCAAGTGTGGACTACAAATCCCAGAGGCGCCTGGAAGCAGGAAAAAGAAGTGATGAACAACCCTGCAGAGTCTTGCTGCTGTGATTCTGGACTGCAAATCCCAGAGACACCTGAAAGCAGAAAGAGGAAGTGATGAGCAACCGTGAAGAGTCTTGCTATTGTGATTCTGGACTGCAAATCCCAGAGACCTCAGGGACAGCAGGAAGAGGAAACAAACACACAGCACATGCTGGCTATGTGCCAGACAGCCGTGATCTAGCACCCCTCATCTTCTGGCCTGAACTACTGCAGGCATGTGGCTGCATTTCCTGAATCAAAGTAAATGTCTGTTCACTTCTGTTTCAATTTAATCTGCAATTTAGACTAACTTGCAAAGACTAAATCGAATCAGCCTCAGGCTTTTTGACTGTCTGTACTTAGCCAGAAAGAACAGCTCAGAAATGTAACTTGCCACTCCTAACATAAGTCTCTCCAGGCTGAATCCGTAGCATCTCTTCTTCAGTGTTTACCCATCAGTTCACATAGCCATAACTTGAATCCTTATTGTTCTTCTGAAAACTTTCCACTCTACCCCCTTACTGTTTCTGTTGACAGCCACACTATCACCACTGTCATTTGGGCCTATAATCATGGGAATGTTCATCTTTTCCTCCCCCCTTCACATCAAGGCAGTGTTCAAATTTTGCCACTTCTTCCTTTTACATTTCTATAATCTAATCTTTTCTTTCTTTCCAGAGAGCCAAAACTCTCATCTTGGCTCTCATCAAAATCTGTCTTGATGACTAAAAGTCCACAAAAAACACAGCTGCTAAAACCATCTTCTCAGCACATCAATTTGAACATGTCAATTCTCCTTTAAATGTCTCCTGACTCATTTTGCAGCTTAAATTCAGGCCTCCTGTCTTTTAGGCCTTGGAAAATTCTCTCCCTGCCTACTTTCCTGATCTGGTTTTATTGTAACTTGCTTGCTAAGCTGTGCCATCAGCCCCTATGCACAATATTCCTTATCCCAGTTATCTCTGCCTCTATCTCACACTGTCTCTACTTTCTGACCTAATAAATAGGGATTCCAGCCTCTCCTATAATAATATTCTGTAAGATCTTCTTATTCAAGATGTCTAAAAGACAGCTAATATTTCTGTTGTTTAGTTTTTAAATTATCTTCTTTCACCAGGTAACTTATGTTTCCATTGTTACCTTTAACCTTTTTCCTGTTATCTCCCCTATTGTATTATGTAGAAAGACGTACATAAACACATGCAATGATTGAATTTTGTTTGAAATTAGTTTATCAACTTGTTGGAGCAATGATCTTGTCTCACATGCATTATGAAGGGCTTTTGAACAACAACAGTAATAATTATATGACAAAGATACATTCTAATTTTAAGAAGTCTTGTTCTGAGGAAACCAGAACTCTCTCTCCCTTCTCCTATTCTACTCCAAGCCATTCAGGCTTATACAGATTTGCAACAGAGCTGTTGTGCTTCTTTCACTGAAATTGCATTTGACCCAACAGAATGTGGTAGTGATTTGGTGCTTGTTATAGTCCATTATGTTGATACTAGCCAATTGCCCATCAAGAATAATGCGGGGGAGGGGACTGGGATGCAATGTGGTCACCTAACACCCCATGTTGTCGCTGTTCTGCCTCTTGCAGGGAGCGGGGTAGGGGAGCAGAGGCCAGCGCTGCTGGCCCCAGCTCCCCCACCCCCCATCCGGTCCCTGCCTGTCAAGAATGGCGGAGGGGAGGGGGCTGGGATGGAGTGCTGCCACACAATGCCCCATGCCGCCACTGTTCTGTCTTTTCTCACTTTGCTTCTGTTGGTAGGGGGGAGCAAAGCCACTGCTGGCACTCCAGCACCCCAGTTTGGGGCCAGCCTCTCCCCCTCCCCCTCGCCACTTTGGAACCAGGCCGCTTTCCCCCACAGTGTCCCCTCTCCCCATCCCAGCCAGCTGTTGTTTAAGTTCAGTGCCAGCATGGCTTGCAGGGAGCGGGATGGGGGAGCCAGGCCAGCCGGTCCTCCGCACCACTTGCAGGGAATGGGGTGGAGGAGATGAGGTCAGCGCTGCTGGCCTTGGATCCCCGACCCTCTGTCCAGTCCTTGGCGCGGCTTTGGAATAATGGCAGCACACCCCCGTGCTTGGAACACTCTGATTGTCTGTTTCCATCAGCCAATCAGAGTGTGAATAAAGTGTTACAGACAGATGGACAGACAGATAGACTTAGGCTTTTATAATATTAGAATGGCTAGTCCAGTGCTATCTGCTGTCATGCAGAGAACTTAGGGTCACTTTCTGTTCCAGTCTCACACTACCAGAGTTGAGAGGGCTTGAGTTTTGTGGAAGTGATATATTCAGACCCAACAGAAAAAAGTGTGCTTAACAGAATATTCCATTAAGTAAATGTGGCATTTGTAATGGTTGTGTTGGCTGTTCCATACAACATGTATTATTCCTACACCTGTAACAAGTTATTATTATCTTGGTTCATATATTGCTTCTTTTTTCTTTTAGATAAACCTTATTACAAAAATGCTGCATCTCTGCATCACGGACTCAAGAGAACAATCATTTTGAGTTATGCCAATTACATGTTACGAAACAATATATAACATTCTGCCTTTCACTCTACCATTCGGTAAAATCTGTATTCTGTTCCTTTGAACACTGGAAAAAATATTTTGATGTAACATCTGCATAACCAAGAATTAGGGGTATAGTTTGTATAATCAAATTCCGTAGTGTTGTAAGATGGAGGCATAATTTAATCAGCTTACAAAATTACTTTCAAGGAATACATTACATATAAAAACTCTATTGCCTTCTTTAAGATCTTTGCAAAAGTTGAATACTAATTGATTATTGTAGCCTAGTCTCTGCCACCAAATGTGATTCTCAAGCCATATATAATTTCTGTTTTTTCAATAACACTGTTCAGATATCCCTCTAAATATTCCTCTCTCAACCACATCCATACCAGGCTATACTAACAGATGGAGTTTTATGTACAACTGTCTTTTTTTTTGTAGCTGATCAAAATGAGCAACTAGACAAGACAGAAATTTGCTGAAATTCTGATTTCTTTTTGCACTTTTAAAGATTTTATAACTTACCACTCATTGATTATGCAAGGTCTCTGGTCTCCAGCATCTGTTTGCTGCATATGGGAGCAAGGCAAACTCCTTTTTATGTAACTGCACACAATGAGACACAAATACATATCTTGAGAAAAAGGAATGGCACTAACGCAGCTTCCTTTGCAGGGTGAGACCCCCACCCCCTCTGAACTAGTACAGGGCAGATGGAACCAGGAAGAGAGGATGTACTGTACCATACTCCCTGAGTGCTTATAGATAGATATGATAAAGCCAAGTTTTTCCAGATAGGAAAGAAGGGCTGTGTGTAGACAAAACAAAAGGAGTGTGTGCATGACACTTTAAAGTGGGCTAAATGCTTTTGCACTGCTTTAATGGTGTTGGTGTTTGCACCCATCAGTGGCATATTGCACATTAATTCCAGCTGCTGTAGGAAATTTGGTGGCATACTTAGGCTTTTATAATATTAGAATGGCTAGTCCAGTGCTATCTGCTGTCATGCAGAGAACTTAGGGTCACTTTCTGTTCCAGTCTCACACTACCAGAGTTGAGAGGGCTTGAGTTTTGTGGAAGTGATATATTCAGACCCAACAGAAAAAAGTGTGCTTAACAGAATATTCCATTAAGTAAATGTGGCATTTGTAATGGTTGTGTTGGCTGTTCCATACAACATGTATTATTCCTACACCTGTAACAAGTTATTATTATCTTGGTTCATATATTGCTTCTTTTTTCTTTTAGATAAACCTTATTACAAAAATGCTGCATCTCTGCATCACGGACTCAAGAGAACAATCATTTTGAGTTATGCCAATTACATGTTACGAAACAATATATAACATTCTGCCTTTCACTCTACCATTCGGTAAAATCTGTATTCTGTTCCTTTGAACACTGGAAAAAATATTTTGATGTAACATCTGCATAACCAAGAATTAGGGGTATAGTTTGTATAATCAAATTCCGTAGTGTTGTAAGATGGAGGCATAATTTAATCAGCTTACAAAATTACTTTCAAGGAATACATTACATATAAAAACTCTATTGCCTTCTTTAAGATCTTTGCAAAAGTTGAATACTAATTGATTATTGTAGCCTAGTCTCTGCCACCAAATGTGATTCTCAAGCCATATATAATTTCTGTTTTTTCAATAACACTGTTCAGATATCCCTCTAAATATTCCTCTCTCAACCACATCCATACCAGGCTATACTAACAGATGGAGTTTTATGTACAACTGTCTTTTTTTTTGTAGCTGATCAAAATGAGCAACTAGACAAGACAGAAATTTGCTGAAATTCTGATTTCTTTTTGCACTTTTAAAGATTTTATAACTTACCACTCATTGATTATGCAAGGTCTCTGGTCTCCAGCATCTGTTTGCTGCATATGGGAGCAAGGCAAACTCCTTTTTATGTAACTGCACACAATGAGACACAAATACATATCTTGAGAAAAAGGAATGGCACTAACGCAGCTTCCTTTGCAGGGTGAGACCCCCACCCCCTCTGAACTAGTACAGGGCAGATGGAACCAGGAAGAGAGGATGTACTGTACCATACTCCCTGAGTGCTTATAGATAGATATGATAAAGCCAAGTTTTTCCAGATAGGAAAGAAGGGCTGTGTGTAGACAAAACAAAAGGAGTGTGTGCATGACACTTTAAAGTGGGCTAAATGCTTTTGCACTGCTTTAATGGTGTTGGTGTTTGCACCCATCAGTGGCATATTGCACATTAATTCCAGCTGCTGTAGGAAATTTGGTGGCATAATGCGCCTTAAATGACTTGGGGTGCAGCAATGCTGCCCCTAGAGCTGTGGAGTGAAGCACTGGGCTCCGTGCAGCTCAGGGGCTCTGCAGGAAGCCCTGCAGGCAGCCTGGCAGCAGCCCAGGAAAGCAGCCTTTGCCCAAGAAAAGTGGCAAGCCTGATCTTCCCCCCTCCTCACCCCCCCAGAGCCTGCCTGCCTGAGCTGTGCAGGGGCCCAGTGCTTCCCTCTGCGGCTGCGGTGCCCCCCAGGACCACCTGAGCCAGCTGCCTTCAGGCAGGTGCTGCCTGGGTGTGGGGAGGGGGTGCCACTGCAGCAGAGGGAAGCACCAGCCCACCCCTCCACCTCCCCCTGCAGCCCAGGGACCACTCCGCCCACCGGCAGCTCGCCTTCTCCTCCCCACCAGAGAAGCGGGTAATTCAGCAGGGTGTGTGCACGACACAGGGGTTTAATCAGCCCTAAATTGAAGCAGTGTTTTTTTAAAACCCACCACTTCAATTTAGGTCCCCTGTTTCATCTACACATGCCCAAGGAAAGCTGTGGCTGAGATTCAGGGCTGGCAACTTAAAGGAAGATTATAAGCAGTTCATAATAATCATAAGTCTTCCTGACAATTGATTCATATGTGAATGTAGATAATCTACCCATTTGTAAAAGCTGCAGACCATGTATATTTAAGGCTCCTGAAACTCATGGATTTATTCCTAATCATCAGAAGACATGATTATACATTGCAGAGGTTCATTATTAGAACTCTAGCTTTCAGATTCTTCCTCAGACCTCAGCTGTTTGTTTCATCCCATTCAGCTCTATGAGCATTGGAAAAGATGATCAAATCCTACTCTATACTCTCTTCTCTCCAAACTATTAAAAATCCAAGCCTGACCATTACAAATGCAACACTCACTTAATGGAATATTGTGTTAATCGGTATTAACAACAGAACACCTGCTGAATATGCATTTGCCCAAGGAAAAAGGAAGCAAGGTTTTGGAAAATTTAGGGAATCTAATTTCTCCTCACCACTAGCAATCCCACTCCTTTTATCTCCCATCAACAAAATTCAGTTCTAACGTCCACAGCTGCTAGAACAGAGCTTTTCAGAGAGCACTGGGGAACACATGTCAAGGCAAACACACATCTGAGTTACAGATGTCACTGTGCTGTGCCATTATCTCCCAGGCTCAGTCAGAAGTATCATGTTTTTAGACAGGCTGCTTTCCTGAGACCACCACAGAGATCCATACTTAAAACAAGCAAAACAACCCCCCCACCAATAAACCCTGAACAATCGACCAATAAGAAATAATAGGAAATAAAAATACCTCTTCAGCTCCCAATTCTAAATAGAGAGGATCTCATTGCTTGATAAGTTACACCCCTAGAATCATTTTACTACCTTCCTGCCCCAAATGAATTTCAAAGTTGTCCATAACGCTGCGCTTTCTAATATCTGTCCATACCACTCTCACATTTGCTCCTTCATATACTTCCTCCTCAGCAGCTTCTTTGTCTAATTCTTCTAGTCCTGGCTATAGTCTCTTATACAACACCTCTTCATAACACTTTAAAAAAAAACCACCTTGTTTTTATGAAGTCTTTCCCCCAGTGAGCAACCTGACAATGTTTTCACAATTGGCTTTTGTAGTGTTGTCACATATCATGTTTTGTGTGATTTATGCTGCAAATTTCTTGGAACACAGACCTTGTCTTTATTAAGAGTTTTATCTAGTGCTGCCCTATAAATAATAATATTGTGGAAGGTAAATGTAATCTTGCTGTTCAGAAACATATCAGTTTATCTATACAGTAAATTGTATTTGGGCTAGTCTGAAATGAAAATCCCATTCCTCAAAAATCAAATCCTAATCTGGATTTTGGACATCTCAAAGTTCAGAAACCAACGATACAATTTGACATCCCCCCCATCTCTGATTCCCTGACTGCCAAACTTCAGGGTTTTAGGATGAAAGTTTTTCATTCTGCCCAACCTCCAATCTAATTCCATTAGATTTTGTTTAAAATTTACATTGTGTGTTGAACATGCTGAAATGGCAGGATGGGAATGCATCACTTCAGTGGGCCCGAGTGTTACATTTCGACTCTTGATATACATTGTAATAAAGATGTAAACAAGTGGAAAGTGGAAAAGCATAAAAATCATCTTCACCTGAACTTTGTTAAGCTATTGCAGGCTTACTTGGACTGGGTAGGAATTTTTAGCTCTTACGGAATCTGCATCAATATTTTTTGTTTTATGTAATAAACATAGTCTGTTTGAAATCTTGTTTCTTCTTTAATGCAAGCTACTTATAGCCTATGCCATAAATGTCCTAAATTTAATCCTTCCTATCAATCTAAGGAAAAAGGGAGAGATGGCAAGAAACAAAAAACTCCAGCTTCTGTTTATTGACTTCTAAGAACTGTTGGTCTTTTACAAACCAAAAAAAAATTCTTTGTATCTAGAATCTGCTGGGTGCTAATTTGACATGGCAATGAGATGAAAGTTGGACTCATGCTAGTTTCAACATCAGAGGATTGGAATGCAGCCTACTTAGCATAGAAGTCAAACAATTCACTGGCAATAGATTGCTTTCCACTTCTGGATCTGCTAAATAAATAGAAAACTAATTAACAGTGTGGCATGGCAGATGTAGCAGGTTTGAATTTCATTAGAGCACTGGCTAAGAACTGAAAGAATCAAGAAGTCATTTTATGTCCTAGTGTCTGATGAATCTTTCATACTGTCTTTACCATGGGACAGACAAAATGTTATCTATGTGCCCTCCCTCTAAGTATATTTCCACTTTGATTTAAAAAAAAAGGAAAGAAAGAAAAATGCTAAGCTCCTGAAATCAGTCCAAGACTTCTTCTCATTTTTTCAGAAAACTATTTTGGTTCTGAAGCAGCCAGGTTTGTTTCTTTGCCTTCGTACATTTGTGTCCAGCTACTTAAAACTTTATTAAATAACAGCGTTTTACAAAACTATGTTTATGTTTCATTGCTTGTATTTCTATCCCTTTGAGGAAAAGTGGCAGTGGGATATATCATTTACTTTGCTGTAGCAATTAAGAAGATAGAGTCACATAAGGAATACCTAAAATCATATAAAAATAATGTTTTGGGCATTTATTTTTAGTCTTTCCCCCCCCC